GCAGGCGCCGGCCCGCAGCCCCCGGGCAGGGGAGCGCTGGGGACGGGGGTCCCGGCCCCAGCACTGCCGGTAGGGAAGAGTCGTCCTTCTCACAGGGCAGCATCCCCCCGTCCTTGCGGGGCAGCATCCCTTCCCTGCTCCTGGGCCAGCCTTCCCCCCCCAGGCTGTGCACAGCAGCTGGAAACAGAACACAAAGCCAAGGTCTTCCCAGGACCTGAGCTGTTCTTCCTCCTGAAGTCCTGCCCGCAGCGAGATTCACTGTAAGAGAGTAAAATCATGCCCAGGAAGAAGGGACCCGCTAGGATTTACCCATCAGGGTTTTCCTAGCAGCACAGGAAAAAAAGGGGTATTGCTCTAGGCAGCTGTTTGTTGTCCTACCTGAAACCTTTTGGGTTGGTGCAGGAGCTGCCCCTTAAGGGCTGGTGGTAAGGGCAGCGAGGTCTTGGTCTTAAGCTCATGCTTGCCCATAAAAACATAAAGTCCCTCTTTCATATGGGCCTTTTTTTCCTCCCCACAGCATCTGAGATTTGACTTAAAAAAAATTGCATCTCCAGCTGCTCTGATTGCTGGGAGGGCCTCCAGAAAAAGGACTACCAAGTGCAGCTGACTAACTACATGAAACCATACTTTGAGATGCCTGAACGTCCCCATTCATCTCATCAGGGAGCTAAATGACACCCACAAAGCCTTCTAAGGATTTTAACTACTTCACAGCACGTTTGCACGTAAGAAACCAGGCAAAGCAGCATACTTTGAACCTGCAACGGGCTTCCAGTGTAGGCCAGCCTTAGAAAAATACAGATCACCTCCTCCCTCCTAGCTAGTTCTTGGGAAAAAAGGTACAAAAAGGGATCGAAAGGGGATCTTCTGGCTGAAATTTCAGCCCACAGGACATAAACGTACAGTACAGCAATGAATGGGGCAAACCCAAGGAACTGCCATTTTAAAAGCTCCCTATGAGATGGGCTTGCTGGTGTTCACTCAGGCTAATCTTCACTTGGAAATGGCACTGCTCCACGGGGTGCTCAGTGGATTCCAGTTACGATACACTTCCACACTGGAGAATATTTTCCCTTGTTTCAGGTGGAGATAGGAGAAAGGGAGTAAGGAAAGCAAGTGGCAGTAATACAGATTGCTAACTTGGGTGCCTGCCTTCGTGGTCGGCACGAGGGAGACAGGTTCCAACAATTCCCTTTAAAAACACCTTGCATGGCACGCAATTAATCCTGCCATTGCAGGAGAAGATGGTGGCACCAAAGGGTACGATACAAGAGAAATGAAGAACAAGGTGCAGTAGAAAGCAGAGGAGCTGTTCAGAAGATAGATAAGCTTTCATGCTTGAGAGAAGGTCCTGGTGAAGCTGTAGCCTCTGACGTTCCTTCTGTGCCCGCGCTAAAGCACTGGCGATGTGCAGAAAGTCAGCCAAGCAATACCTTCTTTTTCTTGTGCCCCTTCCGCTAACCAAAAATCTCCACTCTTTAGAAATAAATGACATGATGAAAAAATTCTCAGTATAGCACAGCTAGAGGAATGGATGACCGTAACACCAGCTAAGAGCTCCGGGCCCACAAACAGTCCACAGAGAACAAATCCCTACAGAATTAGTTTTTCCTCCAGGCAACAGGGAGAGAAAACAACCTTCCCATACTTAGTTAAAAGAGATTAAATGTTATGTTCTTTGTGTCATATCTGACAGGGCAAGAACTAATTGGCATACTCAGTAGCAATGGAGAAAGTTAAGAAAAAATAACCTATTTATAAATTAGTCCTATAAGACCTAAAGTAGGGACGCTGCAGAATACACTTCCTACTAGGTTCAAAGCGCAGATTAGAAAAGCATTTGCCAATAATCCCTAGAGATGCTTAGGGAGATTCTTCCACGTTATTTGCTGCTGGCCATGATGGTTTGTTACTGCTAGTCCCCTGGTATGCAGTAAAACCTTAAGCAGCTGCATGCCAGAGCCACTACCTTGCCTCACTGCAGGGGGTGGACTACAGATCTCTTGAATTGTCTTTCTCAACCACATGTCTGAGATCCCCTGCTAAACTAAAAAGAGACAAATCTGAGCATAAATTTGCACTTCTCTCATCTTTCATAAGCATAAAATGAAGGTGGAACACAGAGCACTCACAGGAAAGCAGTGCAACAGCGAAGCTTCTGCAAGATGAGAGAAGGAAGATCACACGTAGGAACTGACAGCAGCCTTGGCAGATCAGCTCTAGCAATCTGCTTCAGGGGAAGGCTTAGCCAAGGTGGCTCAGGTGAAGAGGCACTTTCAGCAGGGCACGTGGTCTGATGCAGTAATCGGGGAAAACTCCTTCTGACCCCATGCAAGTGGCCTGTGTGCGCTCTGGAAAACCTGACTGCCAATTACTCCTCAGCTGAATATCATCAAAAAGAAAATTTTAGGAGGCTGTGAACGTGTCTCAAGTCGACAACTTAAGTTACTCCATCTTTGCTTCTGTGACAACCAGGTAATTTTTATACAATTATTCTCCCCTCTTGAATAACTTGCTATAAATAGTATCTGCGTACTACGGATGCGCCCTTAACGTTGGTGCACACCTACACCACACTTTTCACAGCTCTCACCAAAGCCAGAATGTTTTTAGATTCAGTCCTGATGCAAGCAGATGGGCCTTGCAAGTCGCAGTGGAAAGGAGAAGCCAAAAATGCTTGGCTGCAAGCAGGGCAGTCACCAAAGCTCATAGAATGAGCACTTAATTCAGGTCTTTTGCAGTCAACTGTGAGTATCTCAGACCCAGTGAATAATTCAGGTGGTTTATTTCCTACAGATGACAAGTGCCACCCAGAAAAGGAAACAAGATTAAATGCACAGCGATGCACTGCAGACAACCTGTTACTGCAATAATCACTTCTACTTGCCAACACTGCGATTGCTGCTGTAGACAGTTAATCACAGAAATAAGTTCTACTTCATTAATCTCAGGGTATATATTAAAACCCAAAAAGCCCTTGAAGGATTTACCGATTTATTTGTATTAGTTACCAATTTGGCAGCAATTATATGTTCACGATACAAAATGATTTTTGACCTACTATGACATCTTTTACAAGTGACTTTATCACTGCTCTTGCCCTCTCTGTTCACCAAAAAGGTAGGTTGGGAGGCAAGGCTTGTCAACAGTGTAACAACAGTACTTGTTGCTGAGCGTAAGAAAACTGTTCAAAAGCTTTGTACGAGCTTCTCTTTCTCAGCACCATTTCACGGCTGCAGATGCAGGCCAGAGACCCATCCTCTAAAAATCTGATATCCCGAGGTTCAATTTCCATTAATACTACAATATGGTAGTCACAGCTGGGCTTTCTAAAACGGAAATATGATATGGCTCAGGTGTCTGCAGGAGTATTCACAGCAGAAGCCAGGGGTGTAAAGTTGTGGAGAGAGATGAGAAGTGCAGGGATTCTCCCTTGTTCCCCACCTTTAACTGAAACTGGTGCAGTCTCACAGCACAACGTGAGTTCTCCCAGAGTGCAAGAAACAGAACGTAGAATTCAGTATGGCACACAGAAATATACAGTGTACAAGACTTCCAAAAACAGTACACATTTATGCCACAAAAACTCTGTAAGTTAAGACAATTAAGCCCCAAGACTGTTCCAAACAACTCCAATTTTAGGATTTTTCATTATTAAAATCATCTTACTGCATCGAAAGACATCATTGAAACTAAATTTTTCAGCTATAGTTATGAAGCGGAGCAGAAAGGTTCTACAGAAAGTAGACTTTAGACTTAGTTTTCATCAACTAGCTTGTAATACAGTAGCTTAAAAATTACTATGGATTAAAAACAAGTGCTTGATTCTTTAGCACTCCTCCTCTCAATCACTTCTTGCATTGTACTTCTCAGTCATATCTTGTTTTGATTAGAAAAAAATACATATATATCAGGGCTTAGTTCCATTTACATGACTCATCAGGTGTTCTTCTGGGTGCTAAAAAGAAAAATAAATTTAATTACTATCATATAGTACTGCAGGCAACTTTTAAGCTGAGTTATTCTCAAATGCCATTTGGAAACATATGGTATAATACGAGATTGGCTTAACTCCACTACCTCAGGATTAGAAATAAAAGTCCCAAAAGTTGAAAGCCTCCCAACCTAAATAAGGCACCTACCTTTTGTTAATAATTCTTTTCAGAAGAGCCCATAGACTTCTCCTGACACTGGGTCCAAGTCTATATCAAAGAAACAGGGCCTCGTAGGAAGTCCTGGCATAGTGCTCATCTGGACAGCAAAAGATAAACTGTTAAAATGGTAGCAGCATTTGCACAAAAGATCTCATACTTAAGACAGATTATGATGGCAAGAACTGACGCAGCTCCTTGCACACAAACATACCAGCTGGATGATGGTCATATACCATTTTGAAGCATATGACGTGAACCAGAAACTCCCGGCTCAGTAGGCAGAACTGGGATTTTTTTTTAACGAGGATTCAGTTCGGCTTCTACCTCTGCCAGTGACTGGGGCCAAGATTTGGCAAAGTACTCGAACATCCTGCCGACTTCAATAGTTAAACTGTTAGATGTTAAATGAGTGTTTATGCATGTTGCTGTGCTGAAACAATGATGGATTTCAGCAGTTTCCTGGTTACTAAAATGAGGATACATTTTTTAATAAAACTTTACTAGTTGTAAAGTCCCAGCCTGATTAAAATTCTTTAAGATCCTAGAACTAGAGATGATAAATAAATTGGAATTATTGAGGAGAGGGTTTTAGTAATCTTTTAAAAATGGAATTAGGCTTAAACATAGATGGACACGTCCGTTTTCCTGACTGGAATCACATAACCTATGCACCGTTCATGAGACGTGCACGTCGGCGTGGGTGTGCAGTGGCAGAACTGAGGCTAGCAAAACAGCTGCCTCCTCTACGCCTGCCTAAGGCCAGTCCGCTCGAGCTGTCCACTGTCGAGTGCTCACTTTCAGAGCCATAAAATGCAAGGCCAGTAGGGACTACATTTGGTCTGACTTACTGATGCAGATTATTTTCCCTTCCCTAACTCAGCATTTAGCCCAGCAGCACGTGCAGGTTAACACGTGCTCTACAGAGGTGGGCAGCATAGACATGCTTGGTACTCTGCACCAGTCATCATCCACCGCATAAATAAAAATCCAAGGTCTCATTTTCCATCTGCATCATCTGGCCTCAGCTTCTACAGTCAGGAATCGTTATGCTCTTTTCCATTACATTAAAGAGCAACCTGGTGTTTTCTCTCTGGGCAAGTATTTTGTACACTAATCAAATTACCTTCCAATCTTCATTTTGATAATAAGCTAAGCAGCATGGAGGCAAAGCTGAGGTCAGGTATTTTCTGCAGTTCTCAAAATTATTCTGGGAGCCTTTGGAATCCCACCCCATTTTCCTAAGTTACTTAAAAGCGTTAACACCAGACCCCCACGCAGTGTACTGCTGCATGACTCAATGCACACCTTATGCAGAGGCAAAAGTCACTTCATGTCTACCTTCTGTTATATATTCTAGGAGTGCACTAACTAGCTCTTTGTCACGGCTGCTGCTTTCCAGGACAGAGAATATTGGACTACAGATATGACCTTCATTCCTTATCTTTGTGTTAGGCTATATGAATATTTTGCTTTCAAGAGCCAAGGTGTTAACAGATCTAAAGCAGTCTGGAAGGATTTCCCTGTTCTCACCACTGTCACTGCAGAGCAAGGAACTTCCTATTTATTTATGTATCACTGAAGAAACGTAGAGCTTTGGACTGTAGCTCTCCACCTACAGGCTCAGAGGGCCAAGGCAAGAGTTGAGACAGTGACGTTCAGTATAGTAGGAGGTGCCATATTGCTAAATATGAGCCTAACTTATTAAGTTCTTGCACTTTCTATTTTGAAAGGAAAGGTCAATTTTCTCACCATTTGCTTACGCCACAAAAAAATCAGACCACGTGGATGCAAGTCAACCCCCCTGCAAAATTTCAAATAGAATCAACACTAACTAAGAATGTATTATGTGTTTCACCTGTGGAACTTCTGAAAACAAGCGATTTAGGAACTCAAAAAGAGTTGTTTGAATAAATGATTTTTTCAATCCACTAGCAGCACCGAAAAAGAAAGAAACTCAAACAATTTGAGTCAGATGATTTATTTCACTTTCATTATTTTTCGTGATTAAAGTTAAACGTAGTAGTCTTTGAAATTACGTTTTCTTTAAAATATCAAAATATTTCATTAAATACAACAGTTTGAACTTTGAGTCAGAAAGGAAAAACTCCAAAACTCGCTCAAAAAATTTAAAATGTGACATACCTTTGTGATTTACTTCAGACAACAGGAATACATAGGCATTGGTGATGGGTTTCAACTCAAATTTTTCACGCAGCTCTAAGCAGAGGCTTTGTTTGCTGCATTTTCAGTTCACAGTTCAATGGCTGCTGCCAAAATTTACTTTGA